CCCGAGCCCCCCAATAATTTTGAAAGACTGTAAAAATCTTGTACCAAATAACACAAATCACACTCATATAACGTAATTGTTATCATAATATAATAATATATGTTTCTGTACTGTACATGTCACAACATAAGCATTTTATACTACACTCCTTTTGACGGATACTAGGGGGCAAATATTTTCTCTGAAATGTTGGTTTTCTATGCTTAGCATGTGATTTATAACCAAATGCACCATTAAAACAGTGTTTTGAAAACCTAGTTTTTTACAAAATGTGTTCTCAGAATGCTGCAAATGCCATTTCCGGGATTCGAATTTTAAAATTTTCCCGTGCCTTCGGCACGAGCCCCCCCCCCAAATATTTCGTAACGTGTCCGCCACTGCTAATGATGATGCGATATCACAATTCTAACTGGACTGAATTATACTTTCGAAACAGATTTAACGAAAGGGAAAAGCAGCTGCATGAATGGTGATGATCACTAATTTCTTTCCATCGTTAGATATACTTCATACTTTCCTGTACTTTTTGTTGTCGAGAAATCTCAGTTTGTAGTTTGACATGTTGGTCATTAAAGAAAAGAAAGTAAAAATAAAGACTTTTAAATCTTTAAAAAAGGTTCACATCACGGGCATTCATACAGTATGTACAATATGAATGTAAAAAGAGTCTGTAAACGCTCTACCATGCAAACGTCATGGCCATGGGTTTTCGCCGACTGCTCCGGTTTCCACAAGGGAATATTGACAGGGTGGGTTGCGATTAGCTCCTAACTGAGCCTCGCAAACCAAACCACTACCATATCTGTGCTCTGGGATCAGACATGAATCATAAGGCAGCTTTATAGAAAGACTCAACTCAGGTTGAGTTGCGTCCTTCGTAATTCAAACTTTAGATCTCAGCTGCAAGTAAGAATGATAAGCACACGCCCACTTGTACTTACTTACTTACTTACACAGTGGGCAGTGGGAGTAAATTACGTACTAGGAACTTGTTCCATCTTTTAACGGATTATTTCTGATCTTTCATTCTCCTATAAAGGCTGTGTTGCCACGAGGTGAAAATCGAAATCCGCTACGAACTAAAATCATGGATATTAACAGCTTACTGGAAACTTCAATAAGTATTATTCCAAATGCGACATTTCTTAATGCTGATCCAGGCTTTGTAGACGGAGAAGGCAAGATATCAGCGAAAGATATGTTGGACTACTTACATTTGACTAAGGCTGCATATGAGAAATTCTGTACGAAAATATACGAAGCACTCATAAGATTAATGAAGTATGCGTGAATGCTGTGATAAACATAGATTACAAACTTGTGTTTGCACTTTGCAGATATTGAAGGATATCAATTGAATTACTATAGAATTAGAATTGTGAGCAGAAATGAGCGACATGTTATTTTATATTAAATTACCATTCATTTGGTGTAGTCAAGACCGTGTGCCTATATCTTATCTGCTTTTCAGTTTTCATAACATCATTTCGGTGGACTAAATTTCTGCAATCAGACGTGCAGGTCATGGTGAAAGTAGCAAGTGAACTTTCAGCCGTGAAATTTTGAGAAATGAAGGTAGCTCGTCAGGTCTGTCGATGCATAAGTGACTTGAACAGCCGTTTTTGAAGAAGAAAATGCTGTTCGACTTTTTTCGCGGACGTAGCCAAGGGGTTGGGGGCCTGGCAAAATTATTGGTCCCCCTTTGGAAAAATATGAATTGAAAAGTTGAAATTTCAGTTTCCACTTCGTATTACAAGACAGTAACATGGCAACGTCGAACGATGGCTTAGGCCACAAAGACACGAACAAAGGAAAATCGCGAATGAAATAAATGGATTTTACCAAATGTAATTCTAAAATATAAAATAGACAGTTCTTTAAATTGAGGTTTGCTTCTTTATAATTTTTTATAAAATTTCCCGAAAATAAAGGAAATGGAGGAAATGTGCTCTAGTGAAAAATGTTTAAAATAAGCCCCGATGAGACCATTTCCGAATTATGGTCGAATGACCACAAACAATGGCCTGAGAACCAGGCTTCGTGCAAGGTTGTAATGTTTCTGTTGCCAATTTAGCATGAATTATTAAATTAAAGTACTTTTCTGTACGAAAATAACGAAATTACGATGAATTTTTCTGTTTCTTTCATTTAGTCAAACAATGACAACAGTCAACAGGTGCCCCACAACACCAAATGTGCCTAAAGGCCCCCCCCCCCTTCCTCCGTTACGGCACTGGTGGCTGATCAGATAACTGTTTATGCATGCTGCCAAACAACGGTCGATCGACGCTGAAAGCAGTCTATTTTCATTGAAAACTATCCAACTGAGTTAGTTCAAACTTAGTGCAGTGCCCTACTTATACTTGACAAATCTATCAAGAGTCGAGATGAGATAAAAATGACAACAGGGTTCCGTAATTGCGAATACATACACAATTCGTAGTAGCTAATGGTGGAGTCGGAGTCAAGAGTCTTCGACGTTAGATCTGGCCATCCAGTGGCTATCACAAGTTTTAAAATCGTTTTTTTTTCAAAATCGTAAAATAGTTTAGTTTATTCTTGTTGTAGATAATGTAGGACACGAATTTTGTTACAATCACTCCTGTCATACACAGCTATTCTTCTCTTTTACCTTGGTGAATTCCCAGATACAGCGTCTGCCAACTGAAGAACCTTGCATGCTTCGCTAGCTGCTGATTCTTTCGCATCTGATATGCTGTTCATTCCTGACGGACTTTTGTAGACTTCGCCAAATACTGTCGCAGTGCAAACAAACTTTCCATCTGAATTTTTCTCTGTTTTATATAAATCAGGCAGCTGGCCCTTCGTGATCTTCTGCACATGTTCATTCAGGATCACTCTGAATTGCTGTGACGCATTTTTCGTGGGACTTACTTTTCTTCCTTCTTCATCGCTTGCATTATCTGGCTGTGGAGGAGAAGCGTTACCAGAAATAAGCTCATACCTTTCTTCTTCTCTGTAAAAATAGAAAGATTTTCACCATATTGCAGTTTGTGCATGCTTCACGCGCCCCCTCCCCGCAATATACAAAACGACATCATTTCACAACAAGCGTCTATTGATCCAGACTACAGATTTCTTTTAAAAAGTATTTCCTAGTTTTCAACTAACCTATAGATGGAGAAGCTAGTTTGCTTTGGAATGTTTTGTAAATCCAGGATAAAGTAGTCTGCACTGGGAAACCTCCCATGAGTCTCATCATTTACCTCATCAATTGGAAACATTTTCCTCCAAGCGCAAGATTGAAGGCTTTATTTTTAAAGTTGATCACCAAAAGAAAGTACACCGCGGGTTCGCCATGCTTCTGTGAGAACTGTGGTAGGATTAAGAGGCAATTTTTATGTTACGTAAAACGCGCTCAACATTACCATAATTATTATAATATGCTATTATGCCACTTGGCCTGTTAAGATAAGAATTTCACTTTGCAACTATAGCGGTTAAAGGACGAATTCAAGCGAGACAGATATAAACATGTAGAGTGTAAACAGTTTGGGGGGGGGGGGGCTTACACACGCGCCTTTCCCCAGAACTCCAGGGGGCTGGGTAAAGTGAAATGACATTTCGGCCACAGCTTAAAACATAGTCAGAGCACTAATCGAAATTTTAGTATGAAATCAGATTGACAGAATCCCTTTAACTTCCAGTTATATACTTCCGGTTATGTTCTTATGCATTATGTTAGATTATTTCTCGTTAAAGATGAATAAGTTTCGGACATTCAAGAATTAATGATATAATCGCCTTTACCAGACATATTTTTCTTTTACCTTGGTGAATTCCCAGATACAGTTTCTGCCAACTGAAGAACCTTGCATGCTTCGCTTGCTGCTGATTCTTTCGCATCTGATATGCTGTTCATTCCTGACGGACTTTTGTATACTTCGCCAAATACTGTCGCAGTACAAACAAACTTTCCATCTGAATTTTTCTCTGTTTTATATAAATCAGGCAGCTGGCCCTTCGTGATCTTCTGCACATGTTCGTTCAGGATCACTCTGAATTGCTTTGACGCATTTTTCGTGGGACTTACTTTTCTTCCTTCTTCATCGCTTGCATTATCTGGCTGTGGAGGACAAGCGTTGCCAGAAGTAAGCACAGACCTTTCTTCGCTGTAAAATAGAAAGAAACCTTATTCCAGATTGTATTTCCCGCGTCCTCTTCCCTCTTCCAGATCCTTGAAGATTCGAACTCAAGCAATGCTTAACAAAAATTCAACGGCTTACAGAAGGCACAAGGTATAATACAAATAGAATATACAAAACGACATCATTCCACAAGCAAACGTCTATTGATGAAGACTAGATATCTTTTAAAAGATATTTCCTAGTTTTCAACTGACCTATCGGGAAGTTTGCTTTGAAATTTTACATCCAGGATTACGCTACCATTAGTTATTATATAGGAGCTGTATAGTAAGATGGTGTTTATGCAGTAACAAATAGGGTCAACTTATACGGAGTCGATTGAGGTATTGACAGCAAAATCACACTGTCTTATGAACGCGAGATTTACTGATTATTATATAGACTATATAATGCTTTTTTTGCTCTCTTGTCTTAATGGTCTCGTTTTCATGTAGTTACTGTATTCTGTATGTTTTATGCACAATATATTTAATTAAGGTAGTTTTGCAATTGGGATCAAGATTAAGGAGAATCATATTCGTGCACAAAACATGGGGATATATATAACCTTTATGTGCGCCTGCTATGGCGAGCATGGAAACGAGGCAATTGATCGCACACAAGAGCAACTTGCTGAGCTAACCGCCTCGCGTGGCAAGCTAGCTTAGCTATGCATTTTCACCGCACACGTTGAGAAAACTACTCAACAACAACATAATTGACAAAATAGTTTGCATTAGTTCCTCCATTTTGTTCAAAGTCACACGAACAAACTGTATGGTTTCTGATTCGCTAATTGATTCAATCAGCTCAGCACTAAGCTCACAACATCCGCAGACGTTGAGATTTTTTCCTCGCGAGGTGAAAAATATCAAACACGATAGATATTTCGGAGAGGTCAAATCCTCACGAAAACTATCCGTACACGAGAGAAACTTGCTGAGTTAACCGCCTCGCGGTGCGGCAGGCTTATAAGCGGCAGAAATGCGTGATGCGTGTGACTTGGCAGATACCGTAACGCTAATGGATTAACAAAGCACGTTGCACGTTGGCTGAAAGTTATGTTAACCTATTAATGTGCAGACTTTCCCCTTGATGCAGGGCCGTAGCGAAGGGGTATTGGGGGGGGGGGGGGGGGTTAACCCCCAACTTTTTTAGAATCAACATATTCGGAGAATCTGGTTGGCTATTCGGAAAATTGCGGCAATAATAGTAGAACAAAATTTTAGTTGTTATACTGAGAAAATATTATAAAATTATATTGTCAGTATAAACTGATTTACGAAATATGGCATTTACATGGATAACAGTGTTTAACAAATCGTAAATCGGTAAATGGTTTTCGATGTATTACTTCTCAGGGCCGTAGCAACGTGGGCGGGGGGGGGGGCTTCAATAGATCGCTGACCAACTGCATGCAAGTGCTCGGATTACTTTGACAAGTTTTCTTTGTTGACCCATACAGACGAGCAAAATTTGTACTTTGCCAATTTTTACTGTGACAAGTGCACTTGTTCAAAAGCTAGCATGCTCGCTTTTGAACAAGTGCACTTGTCATAGAAAAAATTGTCAAAGTTGCGCGAACAGATGAGCAAATAAAACTTGTCACATAAAAACTTGTCATAGAAAACTTGATCGTCTGTAACCGGCTTAAAAGAACCTGCTAACGATGGTTTTCAGCAGCTCTGTGTTCTTTTCGTAACGGCAAAAACGTCCTTTGACTCCATTTTGAGCATATATTCATGTATGTGCAGCCAACCAGAACGGGCAACAAGTTTTTTGTTGACACAATTTATCTAAATCCACGTGACCAGAAATTAGACAATTAAGTTTAGTTCAAGGACTAGCTGCATAACAATTAATATGCAAGACTCTCTCCTTGATGATCAGTAAAACGACATCTGGCATTAGACAGAGTGAAATAATAAAATAGGTGCACGCATTTGGGTGCATTGCAGCTTAATGGGTTAACAAGACATTTGGTAGGTAGCTTAATACACCCTTTCGATAATTACGTCATTTGGCCTGGGATGAATCGTTAGCCAATCACCTTGCGTAATTTACTAATGAGAGCGAGGCTCCAAGACCAAAAAGTATGTGTGACGTAATACGTAATTATCGAAAGGGTGTATTGGTTAATGCACAAGACTCTCCCTTGACGAGTAAAATCATCTTGCGTTAGAAAGAGTAAATAATAAAGATGTGTGAATTTGGGCGCATTGCAACTTAATGGGTTCAATTTTGGTTTTTTAACGAATTCACTCCTTGCATCACAACGCCATATTTTATGCTTTTTATGTACATACTTTTAGGTCCTTCATTTAGTAATAGTATAGTCTCTGATTGGCTATACATGTATACGTGCAAGTTAAAAGTTAACTGAAGCCACTATAAGAGCATTTTAGCCACTTGCACCAGCACAGATGTAAAAAATTAGATAGCAAAATATCTTTGACATCATATTTTAAAACTCGATCTTCATAATTTAAATATGTTCAGTTAATATTCTTTCCACATTTAAATTAAATTAGCCAAACTTAATTAGCCAAACAAAATTTGATCTTAGTGTTCAAACCTGAATAATTAATGCATTTCAGTATATAAGACTATAAAATGTGTGTATTTTATATAAAATACCTGTCCAAGTAAGCCAACACAAACTGGGCAGCTTTCTGTTCAGCATCAATCTTCTTATTCTGTGGACTCATATCTGGCGAGTACGTTCTACCATCATACATGACTTCAGACAAAAACCCAGTGTCTGTCTGTTTGTAGAAGTATATAGGGTATGGTATCTTCTGCTTCTGTGCTTTTTCTTGTAGCATGTTTTTGTAGTTTTTGTCCCTTTGTTGAGTCCACGTATTATCCATGACCTGATGCTCAGCTAATTGGGACTCATTCGTCTCACTGGAAACCTCCACTTCTTCATTTCCTAGAAACTTTAGTGCCTCCTCCGCTGCATTTTGTTCTGCTTCTTTCTTTGATGGCTTTCGCTTAGATTTAAAGTCTTTTCCATCAAAAAGAACTATGCTGACAAACATCTTCTCTTCAGTTTCATTGGTATCATATTTTGGTTTGTCAAGTTTTTTCTTCTGGGTATAGATGTTTAGAGCACTTTTGTAAAATGACTTGATCTCATGTCCTTACTTGCAGGATTGTCACTAGGAAAACTTTGTCCACTTGCAAGTTTCTTCTCAAGGAATTCTATTCTTCCTTTGAGTTCACCTAAATCGATGTCAACCCTTGAAATCTCAGCATCATACTTGTGCTTCATATTTGTCAGTTTTTCATCAATCTTGTTGACTTTATCATCAAACTTCCTTTCCAGGTCCTTGTTTTCTTTGATAAATTGTCTAAGCTTTGATATCATGCTCTTATCGACTTCATCTCCCGATTCAGCAGCCAATGCATGACTTTCTAATACAGTCTTAATACATACGTGTTCGTCCTTCGTCTTCAGCTCAAACTCGTTATCTCTTAATGACTTAATTAATTTGACTTTATCTTGGCAGATTTTCAAATGCTTCAATTCCTTGTAATCTTCAAGAAGTGCAATGACCTTATCAACCATGCCCTGCATCTCTGCATCACTGAACGACATTGTCGCACAATGCATCAGATCATTTCTCACTTTTCTGACGTCTTTAGGCAACTTTTTATCCTTTAAATGCTTAAGTGTGATTTCTTTACAATTAACAAGAATATTCAACATTCCAGACAGGTCAGTCGTATCAGGCCTGTGTTTGCAGCTGCAGTGGCTTTTGCACCCTGGGCATTCATAAAGCACTTCGCAATTTCCCAAGGAAGGTTGTGCCATTTTGTTGGGTCTGCATTTTTCCATTGTAGCTGCCCGTTGCTTTGCTTTTTTATTTCAATCACCCACTGGGCACAGCTAGGGCAAGGTGGTGATTTCCCAGTAATACCACCGCCTTTCCTCATGTTGCAAGCAGACGGCGTAGTGCATTTTCCCGAGCCTAGCCTGGTTTTAATATCATTATGAAGGACGACAATCACATTTTCAGTGAAGTCATGAAGAGCTTCTTTTGACTCAATCAGTGCAAGAGAAACCTTGAGCCAATTCTTATATCCTGAGTCGTTCAAACGTTTCTTCCACTCCTCGTCGCCCAGTGACACCATGTTTTCATTGATTTCCTCTGGCCGATTCAGCAGTCAATGTATGACTTTCCAACGCAGGCTCAATGCATACAGCTTCGTCTTTTTGCCTCCTAGAATAATTTATTTACCTCAGTTGTTAGTTCCGCCATTTTGTATCCTATTATTACCAAAACTTGCGCGAGAAAACGTTTGATGTTTTTCTGTCAAAACAATCAGGATTGCGAGTAATGTACGTTCATATGTCTATGACTGTTAAAATATCAAACTATTATTAGCTATTAGTATAATTACATAGGTGATTATTGAAAATTCTCCACGCTCATTGGTTGCCGTTGAGGTGATTATAACGCGATAATCATCTAAGCGATTTTCGAAATGGTGGCGAAGCCGTTTTGTCAATTACATGACAAAGAAAGATATATATATTTTTATTTTTTCCAAATAATCACTTGTGAAAATATACTAAAACAATTATTCACCTCAGGCTCGGTGATTATCGTGAATAAAAACCTCGACTTTGTCAACCTCGTTCCCAGGGCTTTTCCCTTTTTGTCATTGGGAAGGCGGGAAAAGGCCCTGGCACCGGCCGGTCACATGACTTTCAACACCCAGATATAGTGGGTGTAATAAATTATAATAATAATAATTAGAAAATCCAAGATGGCCGCCAACCTAAGAGTGTCCACAAAATTTAAGTGCTTAGAGCGGCTTAAAAATGCGTTTAGTCTTTGAAATTTTTCCTTCTTTTTGCTACCGACGTACTAGAAATCAGATTCTTCAGCTTTTATTACATGGGAACTATGTAGTTGCTGTTCTTCCAACTGGGTTTGGTAAATATCGTCCGTTCGCTAAACAAAATTAAGAGCCAAAATATAATA